CTTGCTGCATCGATTCAGCGTTTCTGTCTAACATAGTGATTCTCATGTCTTGATGCGGTTCACTAGTGTGCCGCGCAACCCTCTTCAGCGTACCGCGAAATATTCTCACAGGCATACATACATACATACATGTATATATATATATATATATATATGTGTGTGTGTGTGTGTGTGTGTGTGTGTGTGTGAGTAGTAATGGTACAGCGTTAGTATTTGAATAAGTGGATAAGTATTAAACATTTTATCCTGCATTAGCTAAGAAGGTTCTATCAGTTTTATTGCAATTTTCTACTTCTTATTTATGCAAATTAGGCTTCTAAACCCTAAATAACATCAAAAAGTAAGAAGCGAGAAAGACTACACTCAATTGAAGAAGAAATGAGGGTCTGCTTATTGGACATTCGACCAAACATTGAAGAAATTGAAAAAAAAATGCACCAGGCTCAAGTTTCAGACTAAATAAGCTGCACAAATAGTTGAATAAATACATTGAAATAAATTAAGTTCATATCTGTGTGTGTATTTTATACTTATATCGAAGTTTCCGGTATGAAGCATTGAGAGATTAATTTAATAATTGCCCAATTTTTGAAAAGTATATTACTCTGAAATTTGTTTCTAGGTGTGCCGTTGCTTAAAAGGGTTGAGAAACACTGATCTAGCACAATTTTAATTGCCATAAATAGACATTAGATTATCGCTGTAAACCAATACTTTCTCATACACATTCATAAGCCGTTTAACTCTTTTATAATTTTGGTAATAATTAATGGTCCGCCACAACTTCCCCTCTTTTCTTGCTGTAACTAACGTTTGTACATTTACCCTCTATTCTTTGTTTTTATTTTGCTATGCATTCATACAAATTCTTTAGATAGTTTACCTTGCTTTTCTTACTTTCTTTGTCGTGGGAGTGTTCAAGTTCAATACGGAAGGACATTTTCAAAGACAAATTTAAGAAATTTGTTGTCTGAAAAGAATTTGAAATCATATCATCATCATCATTACCTTCGTCATCATCACCTTGACTTTGGTAATCGTCGTGGGGTATCCGAATGCAGAAGCCATATTCAATCTCCTCCACAACGGTCTAGCAACGGCAGCCATCAGCAATTCTCGTATAGTCATACTTGTCCATTGTTTGACATTGTCCAACCAATTTCCACCTTCCACCTTCAATGGTGATGGTCTTGCACAGGCCATCGTGCCTTGTAACGTGTCCAAACCATGCCATTTTTCTCCGTTTGACAGTGGTGAGAAGAGGTTCCGCGTGACCCACAAGACTTTTAACCCTTTTCCGCACAAACTCATTGGTTCCCAATAGAAGATGCCTAGGAGATTTCTCATGCATTTATTCTTAAACGCTTGGATCCTTCTCTCTGTTTCTGCCAAAAGTATCCACGTTTCGCATTCATATAGAAGAATTTCAAAATATTTGTTAAATGAATTGGATGCAGAAGAATTTATTGGCAAATTCGCGAAATCATTTAGTGCACACAAAAGACTGCGCTTAATATAGTCAACTGCTCGCCATGGTCTATTGTGCATTTGAACTATCTGTTAATGTTAAATTATGCAGTAATCTATTTAAAAATACTAACCAATTACTTAAAATTTAAAAAAAATAAATAAACATTCAGTTTACATTTGGTATCTACTGCGAGTAATATGTACAGTACATGTACACTGTAATTCCTAAGTAATAGAAATATTTTTTAACATACAATTTTAATTTCACCATTTTTCCATATTTACTTTTTCTATGAAAATTAAATGATAGCATTGAAGTTGTGGGTGGGGCCCTTTGTTTCCTGTCAACCAATATTTCACCATTGTCCAGAAACATATTCCAGAGATATGGACAGAGATTATCCCTGTTCCTGGAAATTAAATAAAAGGCTAAGTTCGAAAAGTTGACCATGTTCGCCAAGTCTATGAATATAGAATACAGCGCAGTACGCAATCTGTTCAAGAAAACAACGTTAAAGATTAATACTCACGAGTCAGACACTCTACTGCATCTGACTATATCGCCAATACTACCAGCAGCTGTTCCGTAATACTTTAGTCTTCGATATCAGAGGTTGGCAGTGAATATTCGGAAAAAAAACATGGCTGCCTTTATACACGTCGCATTGAATATTTTGAGCCTTCTGATTGGTTAACCTTTCTATTGGTGAACTATAAAATGAGTCAGCTCATTTTGGCTAGCTCACTACTATTACCCAAAAATTCCAACACGAAATTCCTTGAAGGTTACCTAAGTCGACAAGCACCCGATGAATGCCACTGGGCACAACGGCCAAAACATGGTGATAGTAACAACAAAGACGAAGACCATAGTTTATGCAAATAATGAAAATAATGCCGTCATATGTTTATCCCTCGTTTGAGTATACACAGGCTTAGAGATCCCTACACTTCTGCCAATAACTGGGCATTGGTTATACTGTGTGATATATACTGTGGGACGTAGTGATCTAGATGCGCCTCTAGTGATACCTACCGCGATATGTAGATTTTGGAGGAAGTGGGTTTCCTGAGATTTCAGGTTCGCTATTAAATACGATGGTAAATTGGAGAGTGAAGGTAATTTTGAAATTACATAGTAAAATCAACAGGGAGGCGCTGAAGCGGGCATGCGCAAAATATGAAGGCTAGCTAGTAACCCGCAGCATTCCATCGTTCAGGTGAGTGGTGGGGAGCAACGAGGCCAGACGTATGGATGCTCCACTAGACGATTGCACCATTGAGGAGCAATACGCCGGGGTGCGCTTTCTGTGCGCCGAAGGAGCCAAACCTGCGGAAATCCATCTTTGGATATTGGCACCGTATGGCTATGGACCACGCACATATGAATCGGTGAAAAGGTTTGTGAGTGGGTAGAATGCTGCTTTCGACGTTTGTACGTTCTAGCCTTCTTCAGGTGATTGGAATTTCCATTCGTACCCTTTATTTCGTTCACCGGGGTAGATTGTTCCAGTTCCAACATTAATGCAGAATGCTAGAAAAAAAAAGCAATAATAACAAAAAAATGTAATATAAGCGCTGTTAAAAATGGATACAGAGACATTAGTTTTATAAGTCGCAAAACTTCATGCACCGACGTCCCCAAGTACACATGCGTTGATTGTGGTAATCCGGTGACTTGGGTTTTGAGTTCAATATCAGACCACTGCAATGGTGAACAAAAAGTTGTTGAGTTACTAAAACTTAGTATTTTTATTTCAGTCATTCAGTTATGTGCCATGCGTGACACACACGTAGGCGATCATGTATCTTTCGACGAGGAAGATTTTTCCCGCAGTAGGTTGCCATTTCTGCGATAGACCAGTTGCCATCTAAGGTTACAGAACCGGTCTGTCCTACCTGTTGTAGAATAGTTTTCACAGTGGAGGCTTGTATTTGTACTAAGTCGGTCCTAAATTACGTCTGACGTACAAAACGTTAGGAACTTGAAATAATAGTCAATGACGCAGCAATCTAGATGTGGGGCTCATACTTTAATGTCCGACATCGACTGACTCACACAACTCCACTGAGCCCAACTGGCGACTGCTACTACTACTACTTATTATCTGTGGGAGAGTCTATTTACAATAGAAATAGGTACGTTCCGGTATAACAATACCTTTCCCAAGGGTATTAGCACGTAAGTGAATGCAATGGATTCGACTGGAATTCGAACTCTGTTATCCGAGCCGATATCCATTACTCCATCTTGTCTCCCTTTTTATTTACAAAACTTATATCCGTGAAACAAGAAAAATCTATGAACTGAAGGCTCCGGTTCCAAGGTTAGAGCGTCCAACGTCGTAAATATGACAACAGACCAAAGAGCG